GTTTCGGTAATTATCGGCTCGTCATTGTGCCGCCTGCAACTTGGTCTTAAACGCCCATGAACTTTCTTATAATGAGATTAGATCACTGACTTCCATGTTGACGAGAGAGGGAGAGAGAAATACGCGTTATTTTTAAGGTGGCATCCAAAATGTCGGCAGATAATGGCTCCATTCACTGAGACCATGGGATAAGTTAATAAAGTACAGCAAAATCTGGAGATCTCCACGAAGTCCACATTTATTATGGAGACACGTCTACTCTCAACTTCCGGATTCCCGTTTCTTTTCCCGTGCGGTCGCCTGCTAGGAATGACAATACAGAGTGCTGATACGCTGGTGTACGGCGGGACACATGTCGGAAGCTTCGGCGCATAGTACGGGAAATCTTCGCAGCCATCACTTCAGCGTGAATTAGATGGGTAACCCCATCAAGAATGCGATCAGCAAAGTGCTTGACCGTTTTAAAGTGCCGCTGTATTATAATATCAGCTAAAATATACAGCCGCAGAGAGCATTCGGGGGATAGGTTTAAAAACCAACTGGTCTTTATTCAAGCAAAGCTGGAAGAAAAATAACCGGAGGACAGTAGAGAATGAGGGGAAGAATGCAGGCATCTATGAATTTCCAGATGAGGGTTAGAGGTGCGTGTGTGTGATATGACCGAAACCGACAGCTAAAATATAGAAGCCTATGAATTTTAATGAAGGGGGTTTTAATGTGAAGGGTAAATGAAAGTTAAGATGTCAGAGTAACACCAAGGTACCGGATACGTCATTGGGCCAGGACGTCTAAGGATTCAGGACTGGGAGAGGGCCGCAATCGGAAAACGCACCAGACTGGTTATTCAGTAGAAGCCCATTGGCTAACGACCATGCTGAGACATGGTGCAGGCCATCTGGGGATGTGTCTGACTTTCGAGAGAATGACCAACAACCATAAGAGGCATGCCATCCGTCACAGGCATACGTGGCAGCAATTAGGGGCTCGGGCGGCCTCAGTGT